AGGATTAACTGCCCACTTGGGTTTGCAATGTAGCTGAAACAATAGAGCACAAGCACCGGAATAAGAAGTTTAACGACCCCCAAAGAAGACCCCTAGACAACAGTGCGCAGATGCAAGTGGGAGGGAATAGATGTAAATAACTTCGGGGAAGTCATTTAAATATGTATAAGACTTCTGGGAAATGACATGAATATGAATGACTGTCCTAAATAAATTTGTGGAAGTTAGACTAACCAGTGTGCATGCAGGAGGATCACGGCGCTGATCTCCCGTGCACCCAGCGCTGAAATAAAGCTTTGCTTCATAGACTTTGTCCTCTCTTAAAAACTACTTAGGTGAATGTTTCTCACAAACCTATTTTAATTCATCTTCTAGCCCAGTATCTTAAACTAATGAAGACAACAGAAATTAAGAACAGTAATTTAGAAGTGAAAATGGTTATTAAAGAATGGGATGAATACTCTTCTCAAATTTTGAGACACAAATACCACATAATACATCCTCTGAAGTCTTCTGCAGGGTTCAAATTACAGAAACATCTTTGAACGCAGGTGAACCAACTCTACCCCACATTAATTCCTGGCAGACTTACTTTTAAGGACAGATGCACATTTAATTTTGGAATAATCAGCCTTCACATAGAACTTAACAGCCAAAAACTGCGCTCAACAGTGGAGAATTTTTATATGGCATAGTACTTACAGATGATAAATTTCACTTTTGAGCTAACACTTATTTTTGATCTGGTGGCTAGCAGAACATCCTGGAAAACTATCAGTGTAAAAGTCTGTCTATTCTTGCATTCCTCCCCAAGTATCCCGTTTTGACCACCATTATACACAGTGTTAATTTAGGCCAGCCCAATCTAATACAAGAGTTCTTATTTGCCATAAATATATTTATCAAGCAAAATAAAGACCAGAAAACATAAGCAGATATAAAAACCCTACCTTGGTACTGCATCCACAGAAGATGAAGCTGGAACCTTGGGCACCTGACAATTCGTTGCTGCAGCCAGCTTTAAGGCAGACGATGGAACAGCACTTAAAGTCCTAGGTATATGTCGTGCATTGAGTGTGGTAATAGAGTTTACAGTGGCAACTGATGAGGGTACAGTTAGTCGAATGTTGTTCCCAATCAGAACCTGAGTTGTTGCAGAATTGGCAGCAGTTACTTGGTGACTCAGTGCACTGTGGGAACTCGAAGTCTGCGTTATATTTGAAGGCTGTAACAAGGCTGAGCCTGCTGTTGATGATGAACTTGTATGGACAAGTGCTGTAGGTGTAGTACTACTGAGGTGTAAGCCCTTGTACACTCCTGTAAAAGAAAAATGACAGCAAGCTCATTCTTCAGAAAATACACAACTCCAGACAGACATATCTCCACTATGAAAATCACGATGCAATCAAATGCCATCAAACAGCTGCATACCTGAGGCTTGAAGAATGCCATTCACCCCAATTCCAAGCACCACATCATCCTTCATTTTGAATCCCATCAGTTGTTCTGATGTAACCAAAGCTGAAGCAGCAAATTGAGCACTAACAGAATCCAGTGTCTTGGAAACAAAACCCTAAAAAGAACAATGGTGGCAAATATATGTGATTGAGGCTTCCAAAAGTCAGTACTCTCCCCATTTTAAAGCTACACGCAAACTAGTAAGACAAAAATCAATACATGTAAATCAGAACGGTGGCCCAGTCATTCTCTTGGACCAAACTGTCAGCATTTGGTACAACTAGCTAAAATCTGAACTGTGATTTTTTTTTTTTTCCCATGCACTTTTAGCTCCATTATAACAACAGAGAAGAAAATCCCCACAACTATTTAAAACACAAAGAAACTTATTTCCAAAGTTCTATGGAACAACATTGTTTCACAAGTCAACTTGTTTTCATGAAATTCCAAACCCAATTCAGAGACTCAGAGGTTCAGACTGCAAAGAACTTCTGAACCTTCTTATGTGTCGGTCACCATTCATCACTACACATTTATGAGTATTAGACACTTCCACAGCTGTATGGAGGACATATTTAGGAGTTAGATTTAGTTATTAACTAAAAATTCTGCTCTAAAAATCCCCCACTATCAAGAGGATAATGACATGGCTGGAGATCTCTGCAATTCATATTTCTAAGGCTTTGAAAATTTCATTAATTGACTGACCCATCTTTTTTTTTTTGTTAAGAGGGAGCAGAGGCAATGCCTGCCACACTCACCTGCAGTGTCCCTTCTAAACACTTTACAGAATGGCTATGATGTAGATTCAGGCGAAAGCCACTTTCCTGTTGGTTAGTTTCAAGGTTCTATGGCAACAGTTGACAATTAGAGATGAACCCTGGTGGGAAACAATGAGGGATAAATCATAGCACAGACAAATCCCTCACCTGTGATGTGTTGGCAGAGGAATTACTATTTGCTTGCTGTTGATGAATTTGTGCAAGCTGCTGTTTCTGCATTAGTGCCAGTTGCTGTTGATGTTGCTGGTATTGTTCGGCTGTAAATGCTGAACAAAATATAAAACGAGAAAATACTATATCAAAATACGTAGGTGTTGTGTATATAGACACATCTATTTTATAATCCTTAAAAAAAAAAATACACCACAGCAAATTCCTAAGAGCCTTAATGCACCTTTATGGCAAAAAGGCTGTCATCTTCCTAGAAATTTTTGTTCAAATTAAACTTTCCCTCTTTAAGCTGTTTTTTATTATACAGGCTTTAATTGCTCTGCTGCATTTAGCTCAAGATACCAAAAAAAGGAGGGAGAGGAGGGAACCAAAACGCAATCAAAACCACTAAGAATTCTCCAATAACCGATTGCAAAGAAATTACAGGTAGAAATAGCATCATCGTTTTCACTTTGTGAAACAACAGTATCTGCATTATTAGTAAAGTAGGTTTATATGCAAAACTTGAGAACTGCCTGCTTTCAGCCCTCACAGATAGCATTTTGAAGGTAGCAAGTACCTACAATTAAGATTTATGTTGAAGTTTAGTTGAAAACATTAAGTTGGGCATGCTTACAATTGTGCAGGCTATCACAGTATAGTATTTTTGTTGTTCTTAATTATACATGTACAAGCAACTCCATCAATACAGAATCTGATAGAACTACATCCTTCTCTAAAAATCTCTGAAAGGTGACCTAGTAGTCAGTGGATCACAAGTCAACTAGAATTTTATCCAGCTAGCCTGCAAGTATAGAATTGATAAAAACAGTGTTATGCGTGCAGATTTACAAGGGGACACCCAATGGTGCAGGGGAGGGGAGTCATCAGTCCATTGATTAACTTCATGAAATGTTTTGGTTTGTTTTGATTTTTAAATTTACATTTCTAAAATGAAAGGAAGTCTCACTTTTCAGTCTAAAACTGAATCAAGGCTGGAATGTGAACCCTCTTGCAAATTCAGTCTAGGATACACCTTTCAGATTTTTCCTTCAATTTTATCTTCAGATTGTACAGATGCTCACAAATAAGTGCTGTAAATAGTACTAATACTTCTAAAATGCAGTGGAAGTCACGCTTCTGGAGAAGTTCACTGTTTGGCAATAAATCACCACCACACTCGAATTCTGTTCCCAAACTGCAATTTTTAAATTTTTTTTGTTGTTTTATCTACTCCTTCAGGCTTGCTTGCCTGAAGAAAATCTGTTTCTATCAAAACTATAATCATCTTGTGCTTCTGGATTCAACAGGATTCTGAAGAGCAATTGTACCTTATGTATAAACTTGAATAACAAGAATTGGTATTTGGAAACAAACAGAGCAAACACTGCTGAGTGTACATTTTTCTAGTGTATTTGTGGGTTTGTTTTTTTTTTTTGTAAAACATTGTGCCAGCCAAATCCTTCTATTCCATGCTGAAAATAGCACTAAACTATTACCAGAACTTTGCTATCTGGGCACTTGGAGTTATAAATTTTTATTCAGCACATTCAAGTTACTAACTTTTTTACAGTAACATTCTTCAGCAAGTAGGGATGTAGCACTTATTTGTATTGCCGTAACTGACACATTACTTCCCAATACTCTTACAGTTAAATCTCACTTCAACTTGTTTGATTTCTTCAGTGTTTTAAAGTTATTCATAAGAGAATAGCTTAATAGTAACATGATTCATAAATGCCCTTACTAAAAAAAAACCAAAACAAACTAGAGTTTATAGACCAAATATTCAGGAGCTGGCTGTTTAAATTTAGTTTTTACTTTATATAAAACCCCCTTTAGATTTTATTTATTTTTTTTTTTTTTAAAACTGTCACCAAACACAGAAGTTAGAGCAAGAAAGCTTTAGCACACAAAGATTAGCATGTAGAAAGCCGAGTAGCAGTAGCAGACGGAGAAAAATGGATGTACCTTTCTCGTACGGACAAGTATTTAATTTATATTGATCAGTTAGTAGTGACTTATTAATTAAGTGCTTTTAAAAACCCTAAAATTTAGAATCTGTAGGGTTTAGCCAACACAGTGCCAATGATATTGAAGGTTCCATGTATTACAGTACGACATTTTGTTCAACAGTATGTCACTGTAAATATATTTCTTGGGAATAGGTTACGTAAGTGATGTAAATAAAGACAACTCACAGACTGACAAAGAAAATGGGCAAAAAGGGATATATTATACCACCACCTTTGACTGAATTAAGATTAAAATTTCAACCGCCATAACCATCTCACTTTTGTCCATTTAAGTAAGTAAAATTTATTAATAGTTAGTTTTCAAGCCTTAAGTGTATTTTATAGCTAAAATCTAAAGTAGAATTGTAATAAGTACAGTCACCTACTTTGGTTTAACCAACTCCAAAATAATGTTTTCTTTTGAAAAAACAGTAAATAAAGTTTACTGAGACAAGCTGTGTTTGTTTAGGATAGCCATTATTTAGGACAGTCTTTAAATGCTCCCCCTTCTTTCTGGAAGCAACATTTAGAAGAACTGTATTTTTCAAGTTGTGCATCAGAATATTTCTTTTTAAGTAGTCTGTGACTCTTAAAGCTGTCAGTTTCCCACCACTATGAAAACAGTTATACAGCTGTCAAAGTAAACAGGTGACAGAAGAACCTCTGCAACCACCACCCTCATCTACATTCAAACTGCTTATCTTCTGCTCAAATATCCAAACACACTTAAAATACCACCTCAAAAAAAAAAAACAACGGAAATGGCTATTTACCTGTCATATCTGAAAATACACTCAAGAATAATTTATTTCAAGTTTTCCAATTTAGGTTAAGACATTTAGCAATGTTTTTGTTGCTTCCCTTATTAAAGATAAAAGCCTACTGGACATTTCAAAATACTATTTACAACACTGTCAGAGATTTACTGTGAAATTGAGTTAATCAGTTGCATCCAGTTTAGAAACACAATACTGTCTATAAAGGATTGCTGCAAGCCACAGCCTCCTAACATAATCTGATTGATATTCCTTTTCCATTCTACAGCATATCCAGATACACTACTGTACCAGAAGAGGCTACAGATTGTAATTACATAAGCTAGCTTTTCCCTCTCCATGCTGAAGAAGCACTACATTGAAGGTTTAAGTGAAAATATTACTACTACTGAGAACTCTGCAAACCAGAACTAATCATTATTTCTTCTGAAGAACTACAAAAGTAGGATAGCATACTTTATTCCTCTTCTGTTTAAAAGCCACCATCTATTCTAAACTGAAAGAGGGAAGATTTGAGTTGGATATAAGGAAAGTGAATGTAGTGAGGCACTGGAACAGGTTGCCCAGAGAAGCTGTGGATGCTCCATCCCTGGAAGTGTTCAAGGCCAGGTTGGATGGGGTTTCGAGTAACCTGGTCTGGTGGAAGCTGTCCTTGCCCATGGCAGGGGGTTAGAACTAGGTGATCTTTAAGATCCCTTCCAACCTGAATCATTTTACAATTCTACGATTTTGCTCACTAACACTGTCACCAGGTTTCTTCCCCTCCTGCTCTCAGAGTCATCTCAACTGAAATATAAGCCTCTGGATTGTGAGCTGTAAGTTGCTTCTGAAAACTATCATTCCCATGCACAAAAAAAAATATTTGTATGTATTTTATGTGAAAGTACTTCCACCTATTTAACCTTACACATTAATTTTCTGTTGCACACAATTGTGACTGGAATTGGGGAAGGCTTTCTGGCAAATCACACATAACTAAACTTCTCAAAGAGCTAGTCTTAAGTTCAACTGTCTTTTTTTAAAAAGCAATTCAAGTGGAATGCCCTGCAGACCATAAAAACGTAGCTGCTATTAATGGGTTAATTATGACTTGCAGGGAATATTTTTTTTCTTGCCTGCAAAGCTAGCATAGATGCAACTGCACAGGTGCCAAATCGAATATCTTGTTAATGTAACTTTCTCTAGAAAAACAGTAAGGGCATCCCTAAGAACTTTCTTCCAGAAATTTTATTACCTCTTCTCATTTTTATTCTAAAGAAGAGAAAGGGCACAGCTGGAAATCTTTCACCTGTGTCACAGAAAAATGGTAAATGTAGAAGTAGTAAAAAAGAATATAACTTTCTTGTGTGTCATACATTGGCCTTTATCTGCCTGGGAAAAAAGTAGCAAGCAAGAAGCCAGCCCAAACCTTGTCTATACACTTAAATCAGTAACCGTGTTTCTGGTAACTCAGAAGAGTATTGCTACACAAATCTACATATTCCTGATATTACTGGAGACCTTCAAAGCTTTAAAAAAAAATTAGTAAAGCAACAGACAACAGCAGCTTCAAGTTAAAAAAAGGGACAAAACGTAACATTCAATGGTTAAAGACAACACATGTGATTTTAAAACAGATTCTTGCTTCAGCAGCCCTAGACAGGAGTGCAGTGTTTATAGTGCAGCTCTTCTCAAACAGCATGCTAGGGCCAAAGTGGTCATCGTTCCATCATACAGTAGTGACTATTTAATAACACAGCATTTACCAAATCAGACAGTGACAAAACATCCAGTTTCATTCACTACACAGAATACAGTGAAGGGCAAAGGTGGGAATATCTCAACCACCACTACTGATACACTATAAATAAGAACATTATCATTTCAGAATATCTCAACTGTCTTTCATAGCTAACAACTATACCTTCCCCCAAAACTTCTACAAACTTTCCAAGACACTTGCAGTAATTTATGCAACTCACCTGACTCCTGAAGTTAACCTAACCCAACTCCTCTCCTAACCTTAAACACTAGAAACCTTTAAGACACAACCCTACCTGGAGTTATCCACACCTCAAGATAGTTGTCAGAAGATGAGTAGTTCAAGTTTTACTGAGAGACTAGGCTACATGAATGCTTCTTACTTGTTTGCTTGCAGCATACTGTTTTGAACTGGAACAATTACAACTCAGTATGCTTCTGAATTGTTTCCGGTAGAGATCCAAATCAAGTTCTAACATTTCAGTTGAGACAACGTTCAGGATTTTACGTCACTGCATCATGCTATGCTGTTATCCTCTTCATTTAACAGCTTGGGACAATGCACGCACCTATTCTATA